TTGAAAATGAGCTCGAAGACGGAACTTATGGAGTCCAAACGGCATTAGCCCTTACCCTGCTAACATTCTAGACCGAGTACCATGACGGTAAAAACTGTGTGCTCCCTCACGACTCAACAGTCGGGAATATAAAGTAAACCGGAGGGTTCACACTAGGAGAGTTCGAGAAATGGTATCCAGAACAAGGACTGAAAATCCTTTTCGTCAGAGGAGTAGTAAGAGCCGCTCAGTTATTGTTTTTTCGGGCTCAGTGAAAGGAACAACACATTTTTATCTTAGCTAGCTTGCCATCTATCACATTCCGTCGGACCCCCAGCGGAAATCGAATCCGGGTCCCCTCTAGACTGGGCATTCTATCTTGGAACTGCCATTATGTCAGAATTATGAGCGCTCAAGTAGAAGGGCAATGTTGCCCTTTTTCATACTGATGCCCGATGGAATGCTTACATCGATAAGAGAACAAAGATGAGCTACTTGGAGCCAGTCTTTACCTGAAAAATTACAGAGAGTAACCGTGCGCTCACAGCAGGACCATTCGTCATTTCTGGAGGAAGCTCAACAAAGGCTACGTATTCTGAGTACTACGGGGAGGGAGATCGTACCTGCCTGGGGGTCATGAAGTGAGAACAGTTAGAAGGATCATGGAGGAACCTCCTTCAGTTGGAATATGCAGTAAAGGACATCGTACCGAGAGCCTTGATGAAGGGAGTCATACTGACACGGTCATTTCCCTCATGGTGTGGTCTGATTACAGTATCTTCGATCCACTCCCCACCCTTCTTTGCATCAGTCTGAAAACCATCACTGCTGGTGACATAGATACAGTTCAGCTGAATGAATGAAATGAGCATGAAATTTTCTATGAGCAATCGCGAGCGGTTGCAGACTTGAACACCGTCCGTAAAAAATCAAATTATGCCACATTTCATAGCCTTCCTATATGCCATGTCACATTCAATTTACTAGCACTCCAACCATGAATAGCCACTCAAGTGGATGCGGCAGCTTACTGTTTACGTCCCCTTCCCTTAGTCGGGAACGTAAACGTGGCAGCTCTATTACACATGAATAGCCATTTAGCGGCCCGCTTTTTCTAAGTCGAGAGGATGATCGTATTAATGAGGAAATGTTTCCCAGTGTCAGGCGTGCCCTGACTATGGTCCAAATTCGAGCCTTCACCTAGTTGGGGGGAGGGAGTGGGAGCCACCTGGTCGTGCCTTTGTATCCTATTCCCCCCCCCTCCCACCCCGAAAAGGAATAGGTTTACAGCGCAGTCGTCGATGGATACTTCCGCATACAAGCATAGTTCCTCCTAACCATAAGCCGCGGCCCTGACTAGTAGAAGGGATACGAAGGCGCTGGTTCCCTGAACTAGGTTTAATGCTGAAGTAGCTAGCTAGTTGAATAAACATCTGGACGATATCTGAAGGTTTTCCGGTGAGGTGCAGCAGTTTGGTGCTTGTTGGATTACTGTAACCCTAGTTCTGTAGAAGGAGTCCTTCGACGGTATGAAATGCTGCGGCGAGGTTACGAGCTTCATTTCTACGCCAGGACAGCACCTAACGCTGGTAGTTGCTGAGAAACCACAGTGACCCAAGGAAACGGTCATAACTGGCATAGCCCAGTAGGAGAGGGAGCTCCCTGGGTGAACAGCTCAAAGTGAGAAGGAGCTCAGGGCTGGGTGACCCTACTCCTTGGTGAAAAAAGGGTTACAAGATTTTTTGCATGATTAACGACGTTTTTAATAAAGGTGCTCCTTGTGATTTTATGTAAGGTCATGATGTCCGAACAATAGGGCGTGGGTCGGGTTGTGGATTGGAGCGCTGCCAAGGCGGCTTTTCCACATATGGTGCCTTGAGGCCGCAATAAATGGCGGGAAGGGCTCATCTGGCTGCGATCCAACTCCTACCCCCCGTTACACTCCCTTTTGCGGGAATCATGACTATACCTTGTGGGCTTTCAATCAAAATACCCCACTTTGTTGGAATATTTTTCCAGATGTTAAAGAGGAATATATCATTCGGAAACCTTTAGAAGTGCTGCTTGTGAAAAAGTTGAAGGGAAACAACTTCAAAGTAAAGTGTGTTTAAGAAACTGGACGAAGAGCTCAATAAGACAATAAGAATGAGCCTTTGAAAGCGACACCAAGCGACAATAGGATGCTAGCAGCTGGCAGATGATTCGGGAATTCGTAGAGAGCGGCGTTCGGGCTGCACTCTTCGCTGGCCTCAGCTCTCAACTGCACCAGCTTCGTATCGATTCTTCGGCAGTGACCAGCGTAGACGTTCCGACGATTCCATTAGGATGTTATTCACGTGCTCAAGTAAAGAGCACATTGTCTTTGAGTGAAGAACAAAATAGCGTCGCTCTTTTAGTAGCCGCCATGGGAAGCGCTGCCATTCAGAATCGTAGAGGCCTCACAATGACTTCTTGCCGTATGCGTGGTAGAACCACCACTTCAATCAATTTTAATACTTTGGGACAGGTCTATTAGTGGGAGCTTGCTGGACTGGTATTGGCTTGGAAGAGATGAGGGGGTAGGGCTGTCAGCTTAGATTTGATCCTGTAGCTATGAAAAGGGAATGGAGATGCAGTGGCAGTCACTTATCTTGTCCACGATCGCAGAGTCAAATCCCGGGTTGGCTCCTTCCAAGCCCATCTACCCCGAGCTCGGTCAAGGTGCCTCGAACGATTTGCGGCGGGAGCGACAGAGGGGGGAACTGAATGATTAGTGGTCGATTCGTCACTGATATTGGGCCAAGTCGCACTCAAAATGCCACTACGACTCCGAATGAAAGTATCATGCGCGGCCAAAATAGGCTGATGGACGTCGGATGCTCCACCCCTTTATATCCTTTAGCCTTGAAAAAGAGGGCCACGCTCTACACTGCATGCATGCTGCATGCCGTCTGACTCAACTCCGACACTTACAGTCACTT